ATGAGGAAAAACTTCTTTACTTTGAGGGTGACAGAGCACTGGAACAGGCTGCCCAGGGGGGTGGTGGAGTCTCCTTCTCTGGAGATAGTCAAAGCCTGCCTGGACGATGTCCTGTGTAACATGTTCTAGGTGAACCTGCTTTAGCAGGACGGTTAGACTAGATGATCTCCCAAGGTCCCTTGCAACCCTTGCGATTCTGTGATTCTGTGTAATGACTTCGCTGGAAGTTCGCTTAAATAATCACTGGATAACTAACTAATAAGAGCAGGGCTTTGCCCCTCATTAAAAGTCTCACCTAGCAGACTCTGCTTGAAATACATGCTTAAGCAACACTAATATGAATACCAAATACATGGGTATTTTTCACTTTGTCCACCACTGCTCTCTTGTCTGCAATTAACTTTGATCAGGCTGCCACGTGGGATCACATCTTCTGTAAAGCTGCTGCATTAGTCTTCGATATCATTAACTCTTCTGATTACCTTTTCCAACAGCAAGTTAAAATGGTGCTTCTGGCTCCTGCACCTTCAAATTTTCCTGAAGCTTTCCATTATTCCAACTTCTGCTACATCAGCACCGCATTTATTCTGATTTCAAGTTTCATTCTTTAGATACCCATACTGCATTTACCTATGAATATCAGTTTTTTCATATTGCCTCTTCCATAACTACCAGAATCTCCAAAAAGGACTAAAAACCTCATGTACCTGATTTGATGCAGCTTTAAAAAAGGAAAGATCCTTGTCTTACAATCAAGAGACAAAGTAAATAATTTAATTGACTTAACTGGTATTTCAAGTATTGTGTACTCTAGCGAATGCCTGGAAGAAAACAGGGAATCTAACCCAACCTCCTCTCTCTCCACAGCAGTGCAGCTCTCTTTGCTCAAGGGAGATGTGGAGTTGCCTGTTTCACTTTCAGAATAACTCTTTACTCAACAAAAATTTCAAGTTACCATGGCTGCTAGCAGCGGTCAACAGGGTCTGGCTGTTCAAAATCTGTATTGTTAGAGGAACTCAGACACTTGCCAATAAATGCCAATTTAGGCATGTTAATAAATAACAGCATCATAAACAGAAAGTTCCTGCAGAAGAAAACAGTAGGCAAGATCCTTTTCTCCACATCTACACTGCAGGCTAGCAGAGACAATTCTACCACAGCTTTGCTGGTATGCCTTCAGCAGTATTTGCTAACAGTGATTTAT